TAAAGCTGGGTTACGTAAATTTTGCTGTTGCATAAACAGTTCATGTGGTTGTGCCCAAAACTAAAATGTTGTGAACAAATCAAACAGATATAATGACAGCCATTGGTTGACATTATACATTTCAGACTTCTTTGAAGTCCCATTTTCTCATCCCTGTAACAAACAATTGTGGTACTATGTCCATCTCCCTCACTCTGTAGTGACATGTTTATTACTCTCAATGTAGACCCTTGCAGTTTATTTTAATTGTTGAAACCGCATACATCCTGAGCCTATATAAATAACCATTAAAAAAAACAGAAAAAAAAACAAAAAACGGCAGAGCCGTCAAAGACCAGAGACAGAGACCGGAGAGACATCAGTGAGAGAGACCAGAAAGAGCTCCCCATTCACATTAAGGAATCTCACACAGTTTCTACTTTCAATGCCATGCTTAAAATAGTCCTATTTAATTTACCATATGGTTGGGTAGGTAAGACACAGGTAAGACTGACCGTACGTCCAAAAAACAAAGATTGTCACTCAAGCTACATATCGAGACACAAGTATGGTAGCTTGAACACTATCCCCTGTATCTGTCATCATTTTGACTTCAGCTGTAGTCTGTTTATTGCTATTCACCCGCTGTCCCAATGTCTCTTTCATGGCATGATGATGGAACCCCAGACCTCCTCCATTTGCACCTGTGGACTGTCTTCTCTGGTCTGGACCAGTGGAGCCGGGCCCGACTCAAAAGTGTCCATGAGCACGTGCGCTGACATTCTTGAAATCTGACTCCTTGCCGGTGGTTGCGTACCCGGAAACAGAATTATCCAACACACACTAATGCTACCTTTTATCATTAATGCTTCCAAAAATATATTGAATTGAAATTTAGTTGAGAGAGACCAGTGAGCGAGACCAAAGAGAGAGAGACCAGAAAAGGACCAGAGAGAGAGACTAGTGAGAGAGATCAGAGAGAGAGACCAAAGAGAGAGCAGAAAGAGACCAAGGAGGGAGAGCAGAGAGACTGGTTAGGCTCCCAGGCAGAGAGGGGAGTGCAGCACATGAGCAGGGCCGGGGGGGCGACCAGTTCGTGTTTGATTTTACTACAGGGATGAACATGAAATATGTCTGTATTACATTGTTATTGACTTTGGTCTGTGCACCGTAGACCAGGACCAAGACCAGGACCAAGATCAGGACCAGGACCAAGAATAGGAGCATGACCAAGACCAATGAAAACTAGTGATAGTAGACAACTTATTTAGAGCCAGGAAATAGAGACTACTGGCTTGACTACTGTAACGCCCTTCAGGCAGCGTGCCATGACAACGCACCGACGTAATCAATTACGTTGACGCAAAAAATACGTCAATACAATATATGCACGTCGATGCGTCATAACAAAGATGGCAGTGAGCAGCAGCAGTAGTAGTAGTAGTGAGTGTCGTCTTATGGGGCGTTCAAACCGCCACTGGAATGCAGTTTCCACGCACAGTAGACGCACATTCTCTAAACTACAGAGGCCAGGGGTGTTCAGACCAGAAGTCCTGGGCTCACAGAGTTAAACTAGCGTAGTAAGGCTAGCGGAGCTAGCAGAGTTATGCTAGCGACTTTTTGTGTAAAGTTCTTCTCCAAAAGGCAGCTCTGCAGCGTCTCTGTGTTCAGAGACCTTGCAGAGACTTTATATAACAGCAGTATGTGTTCACGGACGGTATGTTTTAGACGGTACTTTTGTATCGGCGAACATGCTAGCGGCGCTACATGCTAGCGGCGCTAGTTTAGTCACTAGAGATAGACAACTCGGTCTGTGGAAATGTTCACAAGCACACACAAAGAGACAGACAGTATGCTTAAGATTAAAGGAAAGTTATTTGTTATTTGTGAATGAAGATGATTTTTTCAGTCAGCTAGGCCTATGTTCAACATAATTGTTGAATTCTAAATGTTTATTTTCATTATTTTTTGCTAGAAAAGCACTCTCTCTTCAGCTTAAAGCCCTCAAGATTACATTGGTTTTATTTTATTTTTTATTGAATGCTGAACATCAAGTATTATTTTCATCTGAAAGAAGAATAACAAGATGTATTTTTTCAGTAAGCTTGTGTTTTAAAGGTTTTATGCTACATCTGACTAAGAATGTCTTATTTTTGAATTTTAAGAGCAATATATTTTGTTAAGGAATTAATTTTTTTTTTCATTCAGATATGTAAATCAACATGTATACATTGATATTAGTCAATTCATGGGGAGATAATCGATAATCGAATCGAATCGAAATCGAATCGAATAGTTAGATTAATCGATGCATCGGAAAAACAATCGTTTGATTAATCGTTTAAAAAATAATCGTTTATCCCAGCCCTACTTTCCAACTCATACAAAATACAGCAGCAAGGATCAAGGACACATTCACTGGCTTCCTGTGGGGTATAGAATCACATTTGATGGGGGTATAGAATCACAAATGATGGTATGGCTCACTCCAACCTACAAGACACATTAGTATCATCAACCAAACTCTCTCACTCCACTTACAAAACGGCAGACTCCTGGTGGTTCTTAAAGAGTCGAAAAGTGAAATCAGAGGCAGAGCAGTAGCTCCAAGTTCCTATACAGTGCAATCAGCTCCCCATCCACGACAAGGAAACAGACACAGTGTCTACATTCAAGGTTAGACTTAAAACAGTCCTCTTTAATATGCATATTGTTATGTAGTTAAAGCTGCACTAACTCTCTTTGTGAAATTTTCGAATGTGAGCGCTGGCCTCGGTCTTTCTGCTCGCCCTCCCCGCACTCTCGGAGCTGTCGCCCCCCACTACCCCCCTCCCACTCAGCCTGTGCTTATGTGTTTACGGAGCTCACGTCTCACAATATGGATCGCACATTTGAATGTGGATGGCGTGACCATAGAATGATAGAACCGGGAAACGCAGAGGCTGATGGCTGTTTTGCTGTGTAAGCAGTATCCGGTAACAAAGACACAGGAAGTTTCAGGTTAGCCTCCGCCGCTTGTTTACCTCAGCTGTCTGTGTGCACTAACGAGAGACCTGTAGCTTTTCTCAAGAAAGTGAGGGCCAGTGGTCCGCTGTGATAGGTCACTATCTGGTCCCGAAACAAATTCTCTTCCTTGTTGCACGAAAACTCGATCTACAATAAAATGACACGTCAGTACAAATCTGCGCTACTTATTCTTCAAAAGGCCGTATATCCCAATGCATTTGATAGATATGGATTGAATTTTCGAAATGAATACAAAAATAAAGTGAGGTAATGCAGCTGACATAGGTAAGACTTAGAAATATAACCTTAATTCTAAGAGCACAGATTGTCAGTCAAGCTGCACATGGAGACCCCTACACCCCCATTCTCGCCTGGGGCCACCTTAGTCCTGGATCTACAAGGTCAGTCATGGGTCTTCAGCCTCAGTCATCCCACTCCCTATGGACCTAGGGAGTGATGTGCGGCCAGGGGCGGCAATAAAATGTAAACAATAACACTATTTACCACGGGATTTGTGTTATTGTATTATTTCAATGTAAATGTGTCTTATTTAATATATTTTTACCTCAAAATTGCAGATTTTTGTGTGTGGTGGTGCCTCACTTGGGAGATGTGAATGCCTTTGCCTACAGTGGGAGAAGGCCGTTTAGTGGATCGCACTGTTTTCTCTGTTTATTGCTGTTAAGTACATACAGTACATATTTTATCTATATATTATAGATACATATATCTATATTCATACATATTTCCTTCACAAACAACATCTCTACAGTTTAGCGGATGGTTCATAAATTGTGTTTTTGACAACATAAATATGGGTATACACATACAGGTAAAATATATGTATTACATTTTAAGATTTTTTAAAGCAGTTTAGGCAAATGTTATGCTTCCAATGACAATAGGAATGATAAGGATGGAAAGTAAAGCGTAAGAATATTGATTTAAGAAATCTTATACACCTAAGAGTTTGCTGCAGACAGCTAGCGAAACGCAAAAGGAGACACCTGTTTGTTTTTACTTTTTAAAGCTCACTGGGCTTTTTTTCAAATGGAAGATTACATATCTACACTCTAACTATCATCAGGACTTAAAGGTATATGGGAGGATTTTCTTCTTCTGTGTGGATCATCTAAACTATTGGTCCTCCTAATTGTCAATCATTCTTGTGATGTGCGAGACAAGTTTGGAGGAGTTCCTCTGAGGGCGGTTCTTTCCTAAAATGTAAACATGAAACTGGTCTGAACTGAAGTGGGGTAAGGAGTTCTTTTATAAGGTAAGACTGCGTTTGTATGAGAAAACATAGTCCGCTGTTGCCACTCCATATGTCCTGTTGATATATGTGTAAATCTGATTGGGGTGAAGAGGGCAACAGTAGCTCAGTTGGTAGAGCATTGGCCTTCAGGCCTGAAGGTTGTGGGTTCAATTCCCACCTCTACACCTTCTCCACCGACTCCCACTGATGACTGCTGTCGTTGTGTCCTTGGGCAAGACACTTAACCCTACTTTGCCCAAAAGCTCCAGCTGAAAGATCAAGGCTATGCTCACACTCAGAGAGCACCCGCCCTCCTGTGGACTCACCACCTGCAGAGGGTCAGTGAGGGGCTGGTGCTATGAGACTTGGGTGGCATCTCTGATTGCCACCCCCCTGACCCAGAAATGGATTAAAGGGTAGAAAATGGATGGATGGATGGATGATTGGGGTGAAGTCAGTGCCTCACCGATCACCAACCTCACCACATGTCACGTGTTTTTTGTTATTTTTTTATCTCTGTGTTCAAACTGTTTGATTCTCTGATCTGTTGTTGGTGATTCCACAACTTTGTAAAGTCCGAGGCGACTGCTGTTGTGATTTAGGGCAATACACAAATAAATTGACCTGAAGAACACAGAAATATCAAACACTTAACACTAACCATACATTGATTAAACAACATTCAACCATACAAGTCAAACAACAAGACTTGTGTGTGTGTGTGTGCCTGCGTGCATGTGTGTGTGGTCGAGTTTCTCACCTGGGCTGCCGGTGTCTCCCCCTTCCCTCCCCCACCCGGCTGAGGGAGGGTGATCGGCTGCGGACCCCTCCTCCCATGGTGCGCACCACCACGTGTCCATTGGGGCTGGGCATGGGTGGCTGGGGGGAGAGGCAGCGCGGCTCGGGCGAGGAGGGGGCCCCCGCAGTCAGGCTGGTGTCACTGTGGGAGCGCAGCAGCACCCGAGGCGCCGAGAGTGAGGAACCTTGGGATAACACCACAGAGGACCGTGACGAGGGGCCCTGGGACACCACCACAGGAGACCGCCGGCGCGAGGAATACGCGGGCACGTCCCGGAAAGGCACTGCGTAATAAAGGTTGCGTTACAAGAGACACACCAGAACAGAGGGGTGACATCACCTGAGACTGTGTCAGAGATGAGAGGAACCAGAGAGAGATCGAAGAGAGACCAACCAGAGCAGAGTGAGAGAGAGCAGAGGGAGACCAACTAGATACCCGAGAGAGGGAGAGAGAGAAGAGAAATGAGAGAGAGGCTAGAGAAAGGGACCAGAAAGAGAAAAGAGATGGACCAGAGACACCCATCCATCCATCCATTTTCTTCCGCTTCATCCGTTGCCAGGTTGCGGGGGCAGCAGTCTAAGCAGGGACGCCCAGACTTCCCTATCCCCACACACTTCCTCCAGCTTGTCCGGGGAGACCCCAAGGTGTTTCCAGGCCAGCTGGGAGACATAGTCCCTCCAGCGTGTCCTGGGTCTTCCCCAGGGCCTCCTCTCAGTGGAACAGGAGAGGAGGCATCCAAAACAGATGCCCAAGCCACTTCAACTGGTTCCTCTCGACATGGAGAAGCAGCGGCTCTACTCTGAGCTCCTCCCATATGACTGAGCTCCCCACCCTATCTCTAAGGAAGCGCCCAGCCACTATTTAGAGGAAGCTCATTTTTACCGCTTGTATTCGCGATCTCGTTCTTTCGGTCATCACCCAAAGCTCATGACCATTGGTGAGGGAGGGAGCAAAGATTGAAAGGTAAATTGAGAGCGTTGCCTTTCGGCTCAGCTCCCTCTTTACTTCAACGGCCAGATACAGCGACGGCATTACTGCGCACGCTGCGCCGATCCGCCTGTCAATCTCACGCTCCAACCTTCCCTCGTGAACAAGACCTCGAGATACTTGAACTCCTCCACTTGAGGAAGGACCTCTCCACCCACTTGGAGAGGGCAAGGCACCTTTTTTCCATTCGAGCACCATGGCCTCAGATTTGAAGGCGCTGATTTTCATCCCAGCCGCTTCACACTCGGCTGTTGGAGCCAACAGGACAACATGGACCAGAGACACTAGAGACAGAAACCAGGGAGATACCAGAGAGAGAAACCAGAAAGAAACCAAAGAAAGAAACCAGTGGGAGAGAGACCAGAGAAAGACTACAGAGAGAGAGAGAGACTAGAGAGAGAACAGAGAGAGATCAAAAACAAAGAGAGAGACCAGAGAGAGACAATATAGACCGGAGAGAGACAGCTGTGATAGAAAGAGAAAGAGAGAGGAGCGAGAGACCAGAAAGAGAGGCCAGTGAGAGAATTGTGAGCGAGAGAGGGGGAGAGAGAGAGAGACAAGAAAGAGAGACAAGAAAGAGAGACTAGAGATACTGAGTTAATTCAACCGTAGATTAAGACAGGTTCCTTGTGGAGAAAGACATTTCTTACAAGGACAACTTTAAAAGAGGAAAGAGCATGCACATTCTAAAAACAACATTTGGACTAGTTTATTAACAATCAGGTGATTCACACAGGGACTGGGCTCCTGTTTTCTCTGAGGTACATGTCCACGGTCTCCCATACTGTTGCGCGGTAGTTGCTCCGTTTTCCTGCGCTCGTGTTAAAAATAGCGCGTGTGAACATTAGTGCCCGTGGGCGTGCGCGTGCGCTCCCGTGACCTAAAAACTCCGCTCCCACTGCGCGGCAAACACATGCTCCTACCTTCCTTCTTTAAGGCATTGATGATGGACTTCATGTTGCTGTTGCTATGATTATCCAGAGTGGGGTTTTTGAGGGACGCGGACACACGCGTCTGCCGCGCGTCAGCTTGCGTCTGCCGCGCGCCAGCTCGCGTGTGCCGCGAGTTATAGCAGCAGCAGCGTCAGCCGAGGTCCCTTCTCCACGAAACACTGGTACCGAGGAAGAGAAGAGGAGGAGGAAGAGGGATGGGAGTACGAGGGGGAGAGAAAGAGAGAGGAAGAGGTGTCTGCGTGCGTGAGTGTATGTGTGAGCGCGACGTAACGGCGTCAGATATGGATCACATTGTGGTAAACAATTACATTATGACCTGGTTTTACTGTAAGTATATACAAGATCAGAGAGAGACAAGATAAACCAGAGACCAGAGAGAGAGACAAAAGAGTGACCAGAGAGAGAGCAAAGACAGAGCCTATAGAGAGACCAAGGAGACACCAGAGAGACGCTAGAGAGAGAAACCAGAGTGAGAGCAGAGAGAGACACTAGAGAAAAGCGATGGACCAGAGGCACGTTAGATACACTCTCTCTCTCTCTCTCTCTCTCTCTCTCTCTCTCTCAGAGAGAGACTAGAGAGAGACCAAAGAGAGAGAGCAGAGAGAGATCCAGAGAAATGGAGACATGAGAGAGATCAGAGCAAGACAAGAGAGAAACCCTAGAGAGAGACCAGAGACACTGGAGAGAGACCAGAGAGAGAAGCCAGAGAGAGACCAGAGAGACACTGGAGAGAGACCAGAGAGCGAAGCCAGAGAGAGACCAGAGGGAGACACACCAGAGAGAGACCAGAGACTCAAGAGAGAGAGAGACCAGAGAGAGAACAAGAACAGAAAGACCAGAGAGAGAAATCAGAGAGACTAAAGAGACACCAGTGAGAGAAATCAGAAAGAGAGACCAGTGAAGGACCAGACAAACAAACCAGAGAGCAACCCCTGAGAGAAACCAGCGAGAAAAATCAGATAGAGAGACCACAGAGAGAGACTACAGAGTCCAGAGATAGGGACAACAGAGAAACCATATACAGTAGGGACCGGACAGACCAGAGTGAGAGATCAGAGATAGAGAGACAAACTAGAGAGAGAGGTCGGAGAGACCTCAGAAAGATCACAGAGAGAGACCAACCCGCGGCTTGTGAGCCTCATGTGGCTCGTAAGTATGGCACCAGATTCACGCCAAAAGTCCACACGCGCAATTATTACATACACGCGCAGCTTTATTTAATTCACATACGCACACACTACTCCCCACGCGCATATTTCACGCCACACAGGCGCAGATTCAGTACCACGAGCAACAGTGCGTGTGTACCATAAACTGTATATATTAATGGACGTAGTCACGCTTATCTCCGCCGTTCTAACTAATGGCCCAAAAATGTGGCTTTCGTAGAGTAATTCAAAATGGCCGCGGGGGCTGGAAAATGTGAAAAAACGCATCTGTGCATGCGTCAGCCGGCACAAGCCCCCTTCATTTAAACGAGTGACTTCAAAAATTCACAGCGAGTAAACTAGACTGGTCCAAAAAAAATTCATTCCCCTCAGCATTGACACACATGTGGAACGGAGCTTTGGGCCAAGAGCCAACTTTTGGACCATCTTGTAAAAACGCTTTCGGGAGGTCAGCTAATGCTATATGTTAGCATTGGCTAACTCTTATTCCAGGTCCACCCCCATCGGCCCGGGGTGGTATTGCATGTCAGTGCACGTCCTTTTGGCCACTTTTGAGCCGGGACCCGCCCCCACTGGTGTGTACGCTTGTGACTTTCCTTCTCCCTTCTAGTGGTCTGTGTTCTACGCGCGTGTGAAAAACTTTTGTTGCTTGGGGGCGGGGCCAGTGAAAGGTAAACAACCCACTGCAGGATTTCTGGGTGACGTCACAGGCAAGTTGCGTGCACAGCCGAGTGGCTAAAGAAGGTAGCATTGAGCACACTGGAGCAAACTTTGTATCTGGTAAGTGTTTGTGTCCTACATTAACTAATAATCAAAAAGTCCAATCCATAAGTAATCACTATGGTTGCATGTTGTTGCTAGATGTAATCATGATCAGTCAAGTTAAAACAAGCTCACTTTTAGTGCCGCTATCTAAAACCGCCGGTTAGCATTAGCAACGTTAGCTGTTTTGCTAAGTTAGCTCGGGAGGCCCCTTTGTTTTAGTCCGAGGAGAAACAGCCTTCAAACAACTAAACAGTTGTTCTTAAGTTAGCCTGTGTAGCCTTCTAGTCACAACAAAAGCACACCAATACTTTAGAGCTGTAAGACTATCTTTAACCACAAAGTTTGTGGTGTTTTTACGTTAAATACAACTGGAGAACAAAAGTGATCAACCCGTATACCACTAAAAAGGTAATAATTACCTGAGCTAATGTTGCTTTTTTCCTCTCTCAGGAGAACAATCTATGGACTGGACTGTTACAGTCCATAGTCAGCCTTGTGTCTGAGGAGGGGACTGCTGATCTGAATGCAGGGAGAGACATGTGGATTTATGTGCAGAGCTACCAGTAAAAGTCATCCAGTGGTCCTTTGTGTGTCGTGGTCCTTCTTCAGACAGTGCAGAACATAGAACACAATGCAGATTATACTAATAAAGGGGTTAACGGGTGTACACCAGGTTAAGACTGTAATTGAACAATAAAAACAAGTTAGAACGGGGCCCACACCCGTTACAAGTCCATACCCTGCTATACAAGAACAGATGTACCCCAAACCTTTGTGGACGTACACCCAGGCATCGTAAGGCTTTGACATAATGCCCACTCTCTGACTGGGGAGCACATCTACCCTCAAACACAGATCTCAGTACCAGAGTCGAAGTATTTCACATTCTTCACATATCACATAATTGTATGCATCTGAAAATGCATTTTATGATTTTGAGTTCTCTTTTGTACAGACACTGGGTGCCTAAATGAGGTAATTATAGATATTAGGCCAGGTAACCGATGGCCATTGACTCCTATCTACAACCCACTGTTCTGTGAGAATAGTGTTATTATTATTATATGTTTATTTGATAGGCACAGAACAAAACGCATTGTTACAGGTAACTGATGCCATGTTCATAGGCCGTATACATAGTTCCCACAGACCAATGAATGTCACATGACCTCCTCGGAGACGCCATCTTTGATGGCACGCTGCTGTGTTTGTGCATTCCATTAAACAGAAGAATGAGAATAAATGTAGATATTCAAACGCAAATTGGAAAAAAAGGGCAACTTTTGAGCAAATAATTGTATATTAATACAATGGCACCACAGTTTAACGTGCTACGGACATGTTTTACATATTTGATCAAATTATGCAGCAAAAATTAACAAGCAATGCAAACATTTCTCAAAAACTTTAGATTTAATACCAGTTGGAGCTCCATTTAATTATTTTAATTATATTAACAATTAATTTAATTAATGCTAATGCCACACGGACACTCTGGATTGCTGTTATTGTTTATTTCCGCGTTTTTGACCGTATGTTTTGGTGAATGGTGGGCAACTGATTTTTCCAGGCGTAAAGAGCAGTTTATTTTATGACACAGATCTTTTTACAGAAGCAATGCTGTTTGTGAACATTGTTTTAGCCCACCATAGAACTATTATTATCTATTTAATACATTTACGTTGCCCTCGAGAGCCTCGGACGCGACACCGATCCTCCTCATAATAAAGTAATCTAAATAATGAAACTCTCAAGTTACCAGATATCAGCATACACAAGTTAGTACTGATTAAATTACGTCTGTCAACACATTATAAGATACGATACGCACCTGACACAAAGTGCTCCGAGCATATTCTTGCGTGTTTTGAGGGAGTTTCTTGCCTGTTTATCTTCGCAAGCCATAACCTCCGTGGTTGTTCTGACAAAAGCTTAGTCTTCTCACATTCATGAAGTCTAATGATGGGTATACTGTAAAATCCAAGTTTAACGGAACCTCCGGCACGATTTGAACATCCATTGACCCAGCAGGAGATGACCATTTTCAACTTTATCACGACATTAACACGTTTCAGCTTCTTTTTCTATTGTTTTGCCCACAGCATGCCAACACAAATGGCGCCGGGTCGGCAAATCCCCGTATGTAGTGACGTCATGTGGGAACTATGTATAGCGAACAGCTAGGCAAAAAAATATATCACATTTACATTGATCATTATTAAAAACACATTACACAGTACAAAATATTTACAATAGACTATTATTAGAGTCTTGCATTGTGCTCGGAAGTTCGGTTCTTTTCGGTGAGCCATTGTTTAAATATGATTTTAAACCCCCTTCAGGTCTGTTAAAGATTTCAGTTTGGCAGGTAAAACGTTCCAGAGCTGTGGCCCTTTGACTCCAAACGAAGTCTGACCAAATGATGTTTTACATCTTGCTGGTCTGTACTGTGTATGGATCATCACAGAGGACCGATTTATGAAGATAACCTGCACGATAAGAACTATTCAGGGGTTCTGTGTAGTGTGTAGGGATGATAGCCATCCTAAACTAGCAAACACAGTACAGGTACAGTAACCAATTATGACAGCTTGAAACTGCTTAGTATGGAGCTATTGTTGTTTTAATAATATTTGTGCGTGCGTAAAGAGATTTGCTCGTTTGTAACCAGATTTGTGTGTGCCTAACCAGATTCGTGCGTGCGTAACCAGATTTGTGTGTGCGTAAAAGAAAATCTGCGTGCGTATCCAGATTTGTGTGTGTAGAAAAAATATTTGTGCCTGTGTAAATAGATTTTAATGTGCGTAACTAGATCTGTGTGTGTGTAAAAAAAAAGTATGTTTTACACACAAGTCTTTTTTTTACGCACAGATCTTTTGACACAGTCCTGCCTTAGCAGATTCGCAAGTGTAACTTGAACTGTGTGCGCGTGTACCCAGATTTGTGTGTGTGTCATTTGACATTTGTATCTGTAACAGAACAATCTGTATGTAAATAACCACCTTGTAAGAAGAGAAGAACGTAAAAAAAGCCTAAGTGCTACTTACAGGCTCTCGTCCATCCATCCATC